AATTTATAGGAAGATTGTCCTTGCTATCATCCTCCACGCACATGAGGTCTGGGGTAAAGTGATCGCGAGTAAAAGTGTTAGAGATGATATTGACCTCGTCGGCTCGGGCTTCTTGAGGAAAGCTCTCAGAGTGAGAAGTACGCCTCGGGCGTTACTCTATATTGCAGCGGGATCCATGCCTCTTTCTCATCTCATCGTTGAGAGAGTGATCAATATACATGTATCCAAGGGGTCTGTGAAAGGCACACGCCAGGATAGAGAAGCTCTGGGAACTTCTCTAAGGCTGGGGAGTTCATAGGAATGACCAGAAGGAAAACATGGATGTCGTCAAGTCCCACCTTGGACGAGAACGAGATTACTGTATAGTACGTATGGTTTCGATGTTATCAGAAAGCTTGCAGAGAGCGCTGAGAAGCTCGAGACAGCGAGAGTGTGTTAGAAGGGTCATATGCGGCCGAAACAATGGAGCATTCCCACAACTACTCTCGGGACACACTACCCTAATGAGAGCATACAGATACAGGCCCGGCTATTGTGCATGGAATCATGATGAGAGTACCGTAGCGTTAGAGAGACGAATGAACATCTTATGCTCAAGTGCATGAGACCTGATCGGGCTAGTTTGGGTCCGAATCATGTGGACGGAAGCGAGACTCCCACGACTCTTGGGCAAATAACAATATGTGTGAACCGATGTATAGCCAAGGTGAATTTCTGTGAAAAACTTACTATCAAAAGCGAGGCAAGAGATGCGCGAAGTGATGGGCTTCGAGGGAATCTAAATTAATACCCGTAAAGGTCGCCGTTGAGAGCGTTAGCCTCGGTATGAGTGAGGTCAAATTCGAACGATATGGACTTTTCGAGTCTCAAAGAAGATGCTTGTGGCCGACACGTTGTTGAAGGGACCAGTGTTTCATGGTTGTACACAACTACCCCAGTTTGTGAAGCGGATCCTGCCAAGAGGAAAGAAAGCATCTTAGGTCCGCCCTATCCTCTGCCAGAGCGCTAGTTTTGTGTGCTCAATGAACTTGCCTTATTTCATCCCTCTTGGCATCGGTTCTATTTCGACTAAGCCGATTTTCGGCGACTTGAAACGCCCACACACACGAATGATAAGTTCACGTTGATAACCGTGGACAGAATTACATTATTGACGGTAGCCCTCCAGATGATAACACAACAAACATCAGGTGAGTAGGCGCGGTTTTCGCATTATACACTATACTCCCGAAACCAAACCGTCAACTTCAACGGCGACTACAGTCACGGGCGAACTATAAAACTGACGGTGTGAGACGTCAGAATAGATAACCCAGAAACACGATGGGGTGACACTAACGTTGAGATAGTAGGACAAACTTCGCAACAACCTAGCCTCATAGAAGACAAAGAGGCAGCGTGAACAGTGGAAGAATTTGAATACAACAAGATAACACTATTTCTGCAGCATTCTCGTTAACATCGATTGTGTTTAGAGTGGTGCGTGGCTAGGTTATCGCTACGGTATACGAAACAGAACGAGAGACAGAGCCATAATGAACATGCCCAATAAGAAACCATTGCCGGCCCATTTGTTGCTGGGATCATGAAGTACCGCGAACGTCTGCAACTTGAGAATTGCAATATAGGTCTGAGAAAATGACACTCCGAACAACACGCCTTGCACAGCATACCATAATTCCGGCTGTAAGACCCAACATACACCCAATAGAAAAGGGCCCTAGCAGATCACCAAGAATCAACCAGGCAAGTATACCTCCCAGGGGCTCAGCGACGGCTGATAAGAGAGTCCACAGAAAGGCTTGTAGTTTGCTACCAGTGGCTTTCAAAACTGGAGCGGCGACGGCAATACCTGAGTGAGCCGAGACGAGACTGACTTCACGGAGTAGCCGCTAAGGGATGACCAACTTACCCTCGGGAATATTGTGAACACCGATGGCAAAAGCCAGGGAGACTCCAACACTTGGCTCCTCTAAGGTGCCGAGAAAGCCAACTATCCCTTCAGGGAAGTTGTGCAAACATATGGCGATAGCCGTGAACACGCCTGTCTTCAACAACTGGAGCTTTACTCTTGCCTTATCGTCGACGCTC